ATGCGTGTTTTCCAAAAATCAAAAAGTATATTGTCAAACAATAGAGGTTTAGTAATAGAGTAACCCTCAGGTGTGTTTTAATTTCCAAATGTAGCCATCTACGTTAATCAAAATGTAGTTTAAACTTATGATTTTGAAACAAAACTCTGATACCACTTGTTGAGTCTAGTGAATAGGTTGTTAAACCTAAGTTAATATCCCACGGCTATCAAGAGGGGGGTGAATTGGTAGTTAAAAATTATCCCTCTTTTAGATGAGTTGAACCAAAAATAAATTTAATGATTTTTTATAAAAAGTTTTTCAACCACAACTTTTTAAACAGTAAAATGCAAAAAAAAAAAAATAGTAAAAATAAACGACACAAGATTTATAGTGATTCGGTCTAAACTAGACCTACATCCACTTCCTAGAGGCACTCTCTGAGTATTGCACTAATACCAATAGTGTCTCTCCTTTGGTATCCACAGCAAGGCGAAGCAGCCTTTACAAACACTCTTTCCACCACTACCCGGTGCGGCAGAGAACCGTCATCCTTTTACACTATCCCCAGTGTTGGTAGAGAACCATTCATCCTTTCACACTCTCCTAGTGTGGGCAGAGAACCGCCCGTCCTTTCATACTCTCCTAGTGTGGCAGAGAATCGTCCGTCCTTTCACACTCTCCTAGTGTAGGCAGAGAACCCGATCTCCTTGACAGATCTCCTCACAAGAAATCTAGAAAGAAGAAAGAAAAGAGTGAAGTAATCTCAAATCAAAAGTAGAAAATCTTATTTTTGAACACCAAGTAAAGCCTTCACGCTCCAGTAGAAGAAATCCTTCTTTAAATTCTCTCTCTCACTCTCTCCTTGAGTCTTCTTTTAATATGCACGAAAATCAATGACCAAAAAGATTTGGTGGCAGTCTAATTTGGACTATATATAGGAAAGACAAGAAAAACTGTCCAAAAACTATAAAATTTTCAATTTTGTAAGCAGTGGATCGTCCCGTACGATCGTGGATCGTCCCGTACGATCGTGGATCGTCCCGGACGATTTTACTTAAAGTTTCAGAAATGATCCTAATGTATATTGGTATGAACTATGTTCGTACACGATCATCGTCCCGTACGAACTAGGTTCGTCTGGTATGAAACGGTTATTCCATAGGTCGGTTTCCAAATCCCTACAGGATGTAACCAACTAAGGTAAGTCGGTTCGGTTCGTCCTGGGACGAACAAGTTTTGTCTTGGACGATTTTAAATAGAGAGTTTCATCCATGGATGAAGGGTAAATTTCGTCCTGGATGATTTTAAATAGAAAATCTCGTCCAGAGACGAACCATGCATTTCGTCTGGATGAACAGTGCAAAGTGAGAATCCAGAGGCGTTCGTCCTGGGACGAGTATTAAATTTATCCGGACGAATAGGACTTAGAAAAAGTTTCTCCCTTCATGTTCGATCCATTGCTCTTCCGAGGAGTTAATTGACATGTTCATTCCGTACGAACTATGTTCGTCCCGTACGATCAGTTAACAAAAATTATTCCCCCATATGTGTGTGTTGTGAATATTCACTCAATTACAATTACTCCCTCTCAATTCAAAAACATTTTTAAAGCTTTTAATTTACAAATGATTGGATGCTGAATTTTATTTGAAGTCTTCATAGTTTG